ATACACCATTTGTATTGTTATGCTACCACAATTCAGTAGGAAAAGCAAGTTAAGTTTGTGAAATGTTTACGATGGCGATGCCTGCGCGTCCCGGGGTGCTTGTTGCAAATTCAATACTCCACAGCACTTAGAGGTACGTACTTAAAAAAATTGGCTTTGCACGTACTGTTTTCGTTTTCTTACCTGGATATGTTGTCCGATATAACGCCGTTCATTACACTTTTACACTAGCACTCCACTATATGTTACCAACTGGCCGCCTGTATGGATCTTGAGACCGCCACTGTGGATAGGGAGGCAGAGCTGAATAATGAAATGCTACGTCAGAGGGTATGCGGTCAACAACGCGGGCTCAAGTGTCCTAGGTCTAAAAATTTAGCGAAATTAGCGGAAAATAATAAGGGGTGACTTTTAAAACCGAGGAACTCTGTTTTCGTCGAAGGCATTTTCCTATTTCCTGAAGTTTTAAGGAGAAAATTAATTTTTGTAAATTTTTAGGGGGTGTACCAAAGTTTTGGAGGTTGTTCTGTAAATGAAAAGCGGTAAGGAAAACGACACGTATAGACAAATCATTTGTAGTTGTTCTATTAAATAACCGTGGTATCAATTCCGAAATTTTCTAAATAACAAGTTTAGCAATTTTCAAAAGCGTCGACTATACAAATATCTTTCACTGCTCTAATAAGGAACGAAGGCATCGGGAAAAGCATCAAAAAATGATATTTTTGTTCCGGTAACTTGCCACGCGACGACAAGAAAGTATCGCGACCTCGGTTGTCCAAGGCGTTAATCACAGCTGGCGTGCCTTTCAATTGATTTTTGCAATCTCTACTTTTTTTCCTGGAAATGAAAGCTAAGGAACTCTACAAAAATTGAGTTCCATTTGAATGATCTTTGAGTCTTCTATTTAACAAACGGTAAACACCACAGCGTACACTATTGAGTTATGGATGCACGTGGGAGGTTGCTAAGCACGAAAGAAGCGTAAGAGTCGCTCGAGGCGATAGCCGAGAGCGACTTTAAAACTTAGATTTTACTACAAATACATTTAATTACAGCTTTGGACTTCTTTGAGCTAAGTTTGATTCTTGAATGAACAAACTAGAAGAACATGGAGCCGGAGGCTTGCTTTATTACCCTTTAACTGACCCAAGATATGATTGTTAACTCTCCCCTCTAGCTGCTTCATATTTCCTTGTTAGTTGGTTGTGAGAATTTGCCGTTAGATCAAGATAACAACTTATACCTGATAAGTTTGAGCATTCTCATTACCCTTTTGCTGGATAAATGTGTGGATATCAAGTGCTTGCCTGAAAGGTGCTTGGGCTATCACACATCAGACACTTAAACAGCATTCTCTTGATGAGCTGTGTATCAGTTTCAATGGTGGCAAGGACCTTGCACTGTGCTGTTCCACATCTAACATGCTGTGCTGAATAAATTATCAATACCTGTAAAAGAGCTAAAGGCCCTATACTTTCACTATAAGTCACCATTTCCACAAGCAGAAGAGTTTATCTCAGAAACTACCAAAAGGTGCAACAACAACAACAACAACAACAACAACAACACATTTATTATGATTAGAAATATAGCTAAGTACATTGGTTTCTCCCTGCAAAGAGCTTATGAACTAATCGAGGCGGGGAGATCTAAGGACAATTTACAAGTACAGGATTTATCTATAGATGGACTAACAGTGAAAACACTACTATGCAGTAAATAGAATAAGCATAAAACAGACCAAGTATTTTAAGATTACGAAAAGAGGCTAACCTAAAGTATTAAATAACTTAATAAGACGGGAGACTTCGACGTAATCATCTTCTGACCGTAAGAAATTTAGTAGTAACTCCTTTTATCTTTTGGAAAACTTGAATCTCATAAAATTGACAGGAAACATTGCGTATTTCTAGTCTTAGGAGTTGCACAGAATGTGTACATTCCATTTCCACAGACTTAGGTGAATTATTGAATACTACATCACCTGCCTGTGCACAGATTTCTACTTCACATGTATCACCACCATCCAACCGTTTCTTCCCATTGTTCCCCTTTGCAATGACAGTGAATTCAACAGGCTAACCACAGTGTAATATACATCACACCCTCTGCTCCATGTTCCAATTAGTAACTGTTGATGTACCAGTACATGTACAGATATCAGTGACACACCCAAAGTTATTTATCGCCAGCAGCATTTTTTCATCAGCATAAACTTAAAGACATCATGTGCACTGTTGCATAATCAGCAATTCACGCCGCCATTTACGTTTTATCACAATAGAATCGTTGCTAATTAGTGTACATTGTAGTGTGACCGTAATATATGCAGAATGCTATATAGCTAGCAGGTATAAAACTCGTGAATTTGAGCTCTACATTTTTATTACTTGGATTAGTGTGTGCGCGAATAAAGAACTTTGTTTTTACAGAACCGAGTAGTTAACTTGGTTCCAATCGCCACCTTACTGAATTTAGGTTTTGCAATCTGCATAACATTTGCCTCGACTTCACTGCCATTTTCTAAAACCTTCTCAGTGAATTACCGCTAAGGGTTCTGTCCTGGTGTACCGGTTCACAAGGGAATTACTATTGTTCTTTCTTTGTTTAGGAGTTATCGGTTAGCTATTGTGTATTGTTTGGTCTTTTGTATTGGCTCTTGTGAACCGGTACACGAGGACAGAACCCCGCTAAGTACACTACGCGAAGCTGCAACCAGTTCCTCTTGTTGGACTTTTGGAGACTTTCGTTTGGAATTTTGCAGTTCTCGCACACCCTTAATCAGTCCCTCACAAGGTACATCAGCTCTTTAGCTGCCTTTTATCGACCTGCGTGACCTGCGTGACATTCAGATAAACTGATAATTTCTGAAAACAAATTTGTTGATGAAGAAATTANCCGCCCGTAGCTAATGAGCACTAGTTGAGGTTATCGTGTAAACTCCTCGCCTGTTGCGTTCCAATATTGTTGAATCAATCAATCCAATCAATACTTTATTTACCCACGTAGCCTCAAGGAGCTCATAGAACTCGTTCAAAATACGTACGTGCCTCTGAGATTAAGAATCTAAAAAACCAAATACATACTGTCAAGACCTAATTGATTAGAAATTGAAATAACTAACAATTGACATTAAAATTTAAGTTTGCACAGTAAAATTCAAAGTCACTTAAATGCAGGTATAAAATGGTGAAGCAATAGCTTAAATCATTTAAAATTAAGATTAAAAATTAAGTTTGTACAATGAAATTCAGAGTCACTTAAATACAAGTATAAAATGGAGAAGCAGCTAAAGTTTCAATGTTCTCAATAGCCTCTTAAAAAGGTTGATATTATTGGCCAGTTTTACACTTGTAGGTAATCCATTCCACAGCTGCGCACACATTTAAGTGCAAGATTTTTTCAAAAAATTTGAATTAAATTAAGTTGTTGCAGGAAACCAACGCAGGCGCATACCAGCGGTTACCGTATCAAAATAAAAAATTACGGAACATGCGCAGACATAATGCTACCTCTGCGTACATTTCACGAAATAAACAATTGCAGAAACCTGGTGGATGACTAGCGACAAATCCCGCATTTTTGGCAAATTCGAGAATTTGCCGATTTATAGATTCGATTATTGATCGCGAAAAAGATTTCAGAAGTTTGTTTTAAAGCTTTACCAGTCGTGGAAGAAAATGTCATCTGGTTAACTATCGTTACTTCTATCTCTTCCATCGACGGTTCACCTACCATTGTGATTACAGGTTTGTAACTACAGGCCTAAACATAACCGTTGCTTTACTCTCCGTCGCACAGTTGTGCTTTTTAGTCTAATTTTTTATTCTAATATAAGGTATATCCACCATGTGTGTTACAAATATTACTAAGTTAGAACGAATTTATTTGGCGAAGAACTCAGAACTCTCATTTGAGTAAAAAATTCGAGCATAGTTAACGAATAATAAAGTAAAACTGTTATCTTTACAACTATGTTAATGCGATCTTTATTCGTTATTCCTGTGTTAGACACTAAATGGCCACAAAAAATATGAATTTATCCAATACGTATAGTATTTCTTAGAATCTGATCGAATTTCTTTATCGGGAAAATTGCAGTCTGAAGAATAATTACGAAAGAACAAATACTTTTGACTAAGTTATTCATCTAAACAGGATGATAGATATAAGGAAGTGTTAACCACAGTTTGTGCGTCAAGTGATAACCATTACTGGTTTCGAGAAGTGAATCAGGAAGTTTTTGTGAAAAATAGAATATATGATCTGAGCAGACTCTTTGAAAAATATATTTTCCAAGTGGGCTAAATTTTAAGGGGTATTCTATCTTGCAGGGGCTCTTAGACTTTTCTACAGACCTACCTCAAGTTTAATATTTTTTAGGTCATTTTTTTCCTTCTTTGTACTATTTTCTATACAATCAGTTGTAATCAAAGCCAAAAACTGCAATATAATTACATTCTTACAAGGTGCTTCTGATTCTTTTGATAAATTAGTTTGCTCCCATATTCAACTGTATATATCATTCACATTGTTTCAAGTGAGTCATTACTGGTGAATCAGTTACTTAGAATACATACATACAACCTTTATTTATGTGTCAAATCTAAAATAGCAGTTATACAACCACTAACTGGGGACACTAAATACTACCTAAAAATTTGAGAAATTTAAAAATAAAACAATATATATGTACAATTTAAAATCTAACCTAAGTCTTACATAAAAGGCAGTTTTCACATTTACTATCAGTCAATTTAGAAACAAGGTCTATTCTACGTATGTTACATTTAAAAGATGATATGGATGTCAGTTCTCTTACATTTCTTGGTACAATTGCCCATATTTTGGGTCCCATATATCTAAGCGAATGTTTTCCAAAAGTGACAGTATTAAATCTAGGTATACCAAAATCATTATTACGCAGTGTGTACCTAAGTTGTGGAATTTGAAAAAGGCTACATATGTAATTAGGAGATAAATTGTTCTTTACCTTATACATAAGAATGGCTATATCCTGTAGTCTTCTGTTCTGCAGTGTACTTAGGTTAGCCATGTCTAATAATTTATCATAACTACTCCCCTTATCACAGTAAACTGCCCTAAGTGCCCTTTCTTGAATACGTTCCAATTTTCTAGTATCACTCGCCCTACAAAAATGCCAGACAAGATGGCTGTATGTTAAATACGGAAGAATGGCTGCCTTAAACAACTTCAGCTTGGTGTCTGTTGGTATCATATTCCTGAGCCTCATCAGGACTCCAACACGCTGGCTACTCCTCTTACAAATGTTAGCAATGTGTTCATCAAATTGAAGCCTATTGTCTATATATACCCCAAGAAGTTTTAAACACTTGGTAGATTTAACTTCATTGTCATCAATTATAATACTATCCATATCATTATTTTTATTCCCAAGTGTCATTGTCTGATACTTGTCATAGTTCCCTTTTAAGAAATTCGATCTATACCATCTGGAGGCTAATTCGGCACTTGCTATTAACTTATCATGCACCTCAGTAACATTACTGCCTGCAGCATGGAACTGGTGGTCGTCTGCATACATATTGATATTAGTTAACATGAGGTGGATGCGAAGATGAATACAAC